CTGGGATAATATTTGTTGTTTTCAGGAGTAATCTGTGTTGTTTGTCTGGGATATCATTTGTTGTTTGTCAGGGGTAACCCGTGTTGTTTGTCAGGGGCAATCTGTGTTGTTTTTCTGGGATAACGTTTGTTGTTTGTCAGGGGTAACCTGTGTTGTTTTTCAGGGTTATTTTTTAGTTGGTTGTCTGGGATAATGTTTGTTGTTTGTCAGGGGTAATCTGTGTTGTTTGTCTGGGATAACATTTTTTGTTTGTCAGGGGCAATCTGTGTTGTTTGTCTGTGATAATATTTGTTGTTTGTCTGGGGCAATCTGTGTTGTTATTCTGTGATAACATTTGTTGTTTGTCCGGGGCAATCTGTGTTGTTTGTCAGGGGTAAACTGTGTTGTTTTTCTGGAATAACGTTTGTTGTTTGTCAGGGGTAATCTGTGATGGTTGTCTGGGATAACATTTGTTATTTGTCAGGGGCAATCTGTGTTGTTTGGCTTTGGTACCTACGTGGTCAAACTCATCCTATAAACAGCCTCCAAAATGCAAAACTTATCGACTTCTTTGAAAAACATGATATATTTATTACACGTATGGTGAGGGTTAACGAATAGAATATGTAGGTTTATCCCGTGTCTTATATACGGGCCCCAAATCAACTAGGTTTATTTTACAGATAAGATTATCGTGTGAAGTGGTTGTTGTATAAAGAAAGGCTAAAGCAGACGTATTTATATATCTGATGTAAGAGTGTCCTTAGGCGAGCAAGACGGTCACACTACAGGTGTCACAGGCCCTCTGCTTTATGAATGAGATCATAAATGAAGAATTCCGTATATGTGCAGGTCACGGCAGATCAGCTGAGGAATGTCGACGTGATACGTGTACATACAACATGACTGGAAGCGTGGTATCAACTCAACAAATCTACAATCAAAACAAAGAAATCCTATTTCTGCCACCCACCATTTAGTGTTCATCAGGACGTAAACTGTTAAAGCCGATTACCCCCGGTTTTGTAGACAGCGTTTAGACGATGCGTAGGTGGGTTGGGCCTGTTTGTGTCTTCGGTACACGATTACCTGTATGATATCATAAATGAATGCTGCTCCTTATAATGGTTATAGTATCGATACCAGTGTCAAAGTAGTACGGAGCCACATAAAAACATACGAACATGTATACATGAGTAGACCCCGTGTGTCCGGTGTAAACCCAGTGTTCGGTATCTGTCCCCATGTTCCGATTATAATTAGACCCCAGTGTTTCCGGTGTAAACCATGTGTCCAGTATTTGTCCCCAAGTCCCTATTAGGCCCCGCGTGTCCGGTGTAAACCCAGTGTCCTGTATCTGTCCCCCTGTCCAAAGTAGACCCCCGGCCTTATTTCCGATGTAAACCACATGCCCTGTATCTGTCCCAAAGTCCCGAGTAGACCCCCATGTGCCCGGTGTACCACATGTCCTGTGTCTGCCCTTAGTCCCGAGTAGACTCTTTGTGTTCGGTGTAAACCCATGCTATTGTCCAGCATCTGTCTCCATGCCCAAATTAGAACCCCGTGTGTCTGGTGTTAACCCTGTATCCTGTATCTGTCCCCAAGTCCCGAGTAGACCCCGTGTGTGCAGTGTAATCCCAGAGGCCACGTGTCCTTGGTAGAACCCTTTGGTCGGGGCGTCCGGTGTAAACTTTGTGTCCAGGGTAGACCCCCGTACTTGTTACCGGTGTACACGTATGTCCCCGTGTCCTGGGTAGACTTTGTATGTCCTGGGGAGACCTCATTTGTGTCCTGGGGTAAAGCTATGTTTTCTAGCCACGTAGCCCACTGGGTGCATTTGTAAAACGTAGATAATGAGGTGTAATGTTTATACAGATAAGACTGGCTACACGGTGTCAGTGTTGACAGGTATTTAGTATTTACCTGTTGGGGACTCACCTGTAGCTTTAAATGCCGTTTTATCTGGGGATACGAGACAGTTGTTTACATATTGGGATGGGGTTCATGTGGTTAGATCTCTCCGTCTACGTATACACTTCACTCTCACCTCATGGCCGAAATATCGGGTCACTATGTGGACCTAACAGTCGAAATATTAGGTCAGGTGTTTAGAGTCACTGTAAAATAGCCGTCTGTCCAAAACATCAAGGCCGTACTTTAGTGTATGTGGTTCTCTATGGACTTGACTCTGATTTAAAATCAATGCTTTCCGGTCTATTCCCCCGATTACATTACGACCGTACCATCAGGTGTTTGGGCACAGAGGGTTACCGTGGTGGTGTATTGTGTAAGTAATAGAGACATATTGTTGATTTTTTGTATTTAATTTTTAAATAAAGAATTGTTGATGGAGTATTTAGGGGTTAATTGGTGGCTAATTGTGATTGCATATATAGGTTGTTGGGCTGGTGCTTATACATTGTAACTGGAGGGGTATTTGTGTTTGTAGGTAGAAGGTTATTGGGTAGATATTTGTAGATAGAAGATTATTTGGTGAGTATTTGTAGATAAAGGGTTATCGGGTGAGTATTTGTAGATAAATGGTTATCGGGTGGGTATTTGTAGATAGTGGGTTATCGGGTGGGTATTGTTGATAGGGGGTTATCCGGTGGGTATTTGTAGATAGGGGGTTATCCGGTGGGTATTTGTAGATAGGGGGTTATCCGGTGGGTATTTGTAGATAGGAGGTTATTAAGTATTTACGTTGGTAGTAGTCAGGTTGTTTTGCCGATACATGATACTCTTCATAGACTCAAACATGTTCTTAAAATACAGATACATACACATGATGGGTTAGTGTCGTATTTGTAGAAAGCGTATTATTGGATGAAAATGATTTAATTTGTACATATATAGAAATTTTTTCAATTTATGTGTTTTAGGTAGCGTTATTGAATGGGTTTTTGCCTTTAAAGACAGTTTTATTGTGTTGGTCTTTGGGTTTGTTCAGTTGTTTTGGATAGGTGATACAATTTTTATGTGGGTTAGTGTTTGTATGTATGATGTTGTTGGGTGAGTATTTGTGTTATAGATAGAGGGTTATTTGTTGAGTGGTTGTTTGTGTTATAGATTTTTAGTGGATGTGAATTTGTGTGTGTAGATAAAGGGTTATTGTTTATTTGTGTGTGTATATAGAGGGTTATTGAGTATTTGTGTGCGTAGATAAAGGGTTTTTGATTATTTGTGTGTGTTTATATAGAGGGTTATTGATTATTTGTGTGTGTAGATAGAGGGTTATTGAGTATTTGTGTGTGTAGATAGAGAGTTATTGAGTATTTGTGTGTGTAGATAGAGGGTTATTGAATATTTATGTTGTAGATAGAGGGTTATTGAGTATTAATGTTGTAGATAGAGGGTTATTGAGTATTTGTGTATGTATATAGAGAGTTATTGAGTATTTTTGTATGTAGATAGAGGGTTATTGAATATTTATGTTGTAGATAGAGGGTTATTGAGTATTTATGTTTGTAGATAGATGGTTATTGAGTACTTGTGTGTGTAGATAGAGAGTTATTGAGTATTTGTGTATGTAGATAGAGGGTTATTGAGTATTTGTGTGTGTAGATAGAGGGTTATTGAGTATTTATGTGTGAAGATAGAGGGTTATTGAGTATTTGTGTATGTAGATAGAGAGTTATTGAGTACTTGTGTGTGAAGATAGAGGGTTATTGAGTATTTGTGTGTGTAGATAGAGGGTTATTGGGTATTTATGTGTAAAGATAGAGGGTTATTGAGTATTTGTATATGTAGATAGAGAGTTATTGAGTATTTGTGTGTGAAGATAGAGGGTTATTGAGTATTTGTGTGTGTAGATAGAGGGTTATTGAGTATTTGTGTGTAAAGATAGAGAGTTATTGAGTACTTGTGTGTGTAGATAGAGGGTTATTGAGTATTTGTGTGTGAAGATAGAGAGTTATTGAGTATTTGTATAGTAGATAGAGGGTTATTGAGTATTTGTGTGTGTAGATAGAGGGTTATTGAGTATTTGTGTGTGTAGATAGAGAGTTATTGAGTACTTGTGTGTGTAGATAGAGGGTTATTGAGTATTTGTGTGTGTAGATAGAGGGTTATTGAGTATTTGTGTGTGAAGATAGAGGGTTATTGAGTATTTGTGTGTGTAGATAGAGAGTTATTGAGTATTTGTATATGTAGATAGAGGGTTATTGAGTATTTGTGTGTGGAGATAGAGGGTTATTTAGTACTTGTGTGTGAATATAGAGGGTTATTGAGTACTTGTGTGTGTAGATAGAGAGTTATTGAGTACTTTTGTGTGTAGATAGAGGGTTATTGAGTACTTGTGTGTGTAGATAGAGGGATATTGAGTATTGGTACTTTAGATGAAGGAGACATTATTTATTACGCGGTTATTTGTATTATATAGTTCCATTAGGTGGGTATTTGGTGTTTGTAGGTATTGTAGGGATATTGAGTAAGTTTTAGTAGATAAAGGGTTATTGGATCGGGATTTGTGTTCAAGAAATATTTAACGAGTGTGAGAATGTTTTGTACAAAAAACATGAATGATCGCCATGGCTTGAGATGATTATTTTCCCAACATTTTCGAATCGCGTGTTATATATATCTCCATAATATTTTGAATGCGCTTTCGAGCCTTCTTCAGTGCCTTTAAGACAACGCAACATAAAGAAGTGAATTGTACTATGAACTCTATACTAAAGATAAAAAATAAATTAAAAAAAAACATGCCCCCTACCAGCGCCCCATCAGACACAGCAAACAAAGAATCAGCTTCCTAACAGATTTAGGCCAAAAATGATTCGTCCAAAATGTGTGAAAAATTCACTAAAGCATGAATGTACTTCACTCGATAGACATCGTCCAAGACAAATCTTATATGACTTCATTGTTTACATTTTAAATATCGTTGGGTGCTTTTTGAGGAGTGTTTTATCTGCCTGGTTTGTTGAAATATAATATTAAGATTACGTATTTTATGCATTCTCTGCAATAGACGAAGAAAGAATATTATTTTGTGAGTGTGTGAGTTTTAAATGTTTAAGGTGCTGCCGAGAGCGGGAAGAGCACACTGGTGAAGCAGATGAAAATAATTCACAACGATGGCTTCTCCTTTGATGAGCTACTGTCTTTCAAGGTAATTATTGTCTTTTAAAGTGCCTGAAGTATTCAATTTCACAAATATTGCTTCCTGTATATAAAAAAAGTTTCTTTTAGTCTGGAAGCCCAGGTTTCTGACGATGCATGCAGACACGGCGGTGGCAACAGACCTAACTTCCGTCTGTTATGAAACAGGGCAGCTGGTGACCCGTAAACGTATCCAAGTATTCTTCACCGATGTATAGGTGTGCCTGTAAGTTGTTCTGTTAGGAAACTTGTGTATCTGCTTATATATGTTACACACATCTTAAACTGTAAACCCACAAAGGAAATGTATGCTGTGACTGTTGTATGACATTCTGTAACACTGTATATGTTGTTGCGATGACCTATCATTGTCGTTTAAATGTGTTGTGATGTGTCGATACGACGATCTTATACTGTGTAATGTGTCGATACGACGATCTTATACTGTGTAATGTGTCGATACGACGATCTTATACCCTGTAGTGTGTCGATACGACGATCTTATACCCTGAAATGTGTCGATACGACGAACTTATACTCTGTAGTGTGTCGATACGACGAACTTATACCCTGTAATGTGTGGATACGACGATCTTATACCCTGTAGGGTGTCGATACGACGATCTTATACCCTGTCGTGTGTCGATACGACGATCTTATACCATGTAGTGTGTCGATACGACGATCTTATACCCTTCAATGTGTCGATACGACGATCTTATACCCTGTAGCGTGTCGATACGACGATCTTATACCCTGTGGTGTGTCGATACGATGATCTAGACCCATGTGATGTGTCGTTATTATCACCTGTGACCATGTGCTGTATCGTTATGATGACCAGTGACCATGTGGTTTGTCTTTATGATGACCAGTGACCATGTGATGTGTCGTTATGATGACCAGTGTCCATGTGATGTGTCGTTATGATGACCAGTGACCATATGATGTGTCGTTATGATGATCAGTGACCATGTGGTTTGTCTTTATGATGACCATGGACCATGTGGTTTGTCTTTATGATGACCATTGACCATGTGATATGTCGTTATGATGACCAGTGACCAGGTGATGTGTCGTTATGATGACCAGTGACCATGCTGTTTGTCCTTTACTTACTATGACCTGTATGACCCTTTGTGTGTTGTTAAAGATGACAAATGACCCATGTGGTGTGTTGTTTACAAGGTCCTAATGACCGATATCTTGATGTGATGTGTACTAAATGACCATGCAAGTGGTCATTTAGAATTGTAAAACACTGTTTATGGCTGTTTCATGTAGATGTCGAGAACTCAATTATAGCCCTTATCACCATCAAATCACACTATTATTGGCCTGACAACAAGGCACCGACACACAGCTTTAATTTACCATCGAGTACAGAATATAGAACTTCAACACAGAACACATCCGAAATGTGTTCATCTATATTTTAAACACGTTTACTAAAAATCGAAAAAATCACCTAACTATAATAGTCTTTTCTTGCTATATAATTAATACAAAACGCGTTTACTGATATTATTTATCTCTGTTGATTGGTCGTTCGACTTTACATACATGTAGTATGAACGCCGTCTGTCCCTTTTATTCCGTCAACCCCTTCGGCCCCTTGTATTCTGTCAGCCGCGCGCGTTGCGGTTTTGGTGGCGCCACGTGCTATTATCCCGGGGCATGATGATCGCTATAACCTGACGTTGTTATAAAATAATCAGCCCGGGGTCAGTCCGCCTGTAGATCTACAACCTTGTGGAGTCGTACCTACTTACACCAATAGTACAGGACGACATACACCCGGTAGTCATCCCTCAGTCTCGTCCCTAACTCTAGTCAGCTCTCCAATGATAAGTCCGCATCTGTGTGACGACTGACGACCAGCTTCAGGTGTTATTGTATCCTACCTGAGCGGTAACCACTGTCTCCATCTGATCAGGATATAGTCTGTAACACGATCGGCAGGCAAGGACAAAGGCCAATGCGCTTTATTAGGAATCTGTAAAAATTCAAGGGGTGGTGTTGTCTAGGGTTTCTATTGCTGTACTTTATCGGTGTGTTTCTCTTCTGGTTCCCACAGCTGTCAGCAATATTGGGTAACCTCAGTTAACTCCGCTATTTTTAATTGTCTGAATTCACCACATCTACACTGATGTCATTAATCAAGCTTCGTCACAAACGACAATGAGTAAATATCAGAAAGTAATCCATCAACTTAGGCATCCAACAGCCTCCAGAGATATCACAACGTACCTATAGGGGGTGGACACCCATCACTATCCGTTATGTATGGCAAGTCACCTTAACATGCCCAAAGAGGGATCGCAAAAGTAGTACAGATATCCGTAAATGTAATAGAGATATCGGATCTCTGTTCCACTGGCGAAAACTAAAACTAGCCAATGGAAATTTCCAACAAACTGTCCAACAGACTATGGCTTTGATTCTACATTTCCGAAAGAAAACTATGATTTGCGGAACTTCATGAAAGAAATACAGAAGTGAAGATGAAATCAGCGAAAAAGAATCCATAAACAGTGTTCAGAGTGGAAAATGCAATAGGGCTAGACTAGGGTTCGAACCCTGGACCACCGTCGCTCTGACCAGCAGAGCTACCTGAACAAGGGCAGAACCAGACCCATCCAAAACGAAAATAAGGGGAGGTAACCGTGTGTACGAAAAGTGAGTTTCCTTTCTCTTTATGTACACAAAGAGAATTACAGTTTGTGGGTTTTGGGGGAGTAAGAATAATCCAGGTTATGTTGCAGAAAAAAATATTATATATCAAATATGACCGGTGGCGTAGTGGTTAATGTTCCTTCACTATAACCAAGAAGTACAGGGACCAAATCCTCGTAACGGAGCAAAGATGTTTGCATGTAAATTGAGATGATGATATAGCCAAGCAACTCCAAGTGAGAAAATGGCCGGACAAATTCGACCTCTTCTTCGTCTGAGATACAACACACGACGACGGGACACTTTACCTTAATTTCACTACGTACCATCACAAAAGGAAACATCATACATTTAGTCACACTAAAATATGGATTATCATCTCCATAGACATTATAATAGCCGGTCGATAAACATGTTGCCTTGGTTATACCAAGGATACGACGGTTTAGTGGGTGTACTCAGAAGGAAATAGCCACATGAATACTGCCTTTATCCTCACTTAACGCTTGAGAAACTCTAATATCTGATTATAGATACATCGACGTAACTCGCTGGGGATACAACATCTTTGGGTGAAAGGTCAAAATAGTATAATAGACCGTCGTGATGTACGGCCCATCGACATTCAGTTTCCAAGTCGTCTTTATACAATTTTTTATTTAGGGCTGTCGCATGTTTTCTATAGTATATATACAAGACTTAAATCTCTTTTCGAAACTGTAGATATCTCCTCATTTCTGTTCTACCTAAAAGCTGTTGGTCTGTTTCAAAAGATATAACTAACCATAACCTTTTAGTTTTCAGGTTGACATATGTCTTTGATTTCAATTGTCTGTAGTTTTCAGGTTGACATATGTCTTTGATTTCAATAGTCTGTAGTTTTCAGGTTGACATATTCTTTGATTTCGTTTGTCTGTAGTTTTCGGGTTGACATGTCTTTGTTTTCGTTTGTCTGTAGTTTTCGCGTTGACATATGTCTTTGATTTCAATTGTCTGTAGTTTTCAGCTTGACATATGTCTTTGATTTCAATTGTCTGTAGTTTTCAGCTTGACATATGTCTTTGATTTCAATTGTCTGTAGTTTTCAGCTTGACATATGTCTTTGATTTCGTCTGTCTGTAGTTTTCGGGTTGACATATGTCTTTGATTTCGTTTGTCTGTAGTTTTCGGGTTGACACATGTCTTTGATTTCGTTTGTCTTTGGTTTTCGGATTGACACATGTCTTTGATTTCGTTTGTCTGTAGTTTTCAGGTTGACACATGTCTTTGATTTCCTTTATCTGTAGTTTTCGGGTTGATACATGTCTTTGATTTCGTTTGTCTGTAGTTTTCAGGTTGACACATGTCTTTGATTTCCTTTATCTGTAGTTTTCGGGTTGATAAATGTCTTGGATTTCGTGTGTCTGTATTTTTGGATTGACACATGTCTTTGATTTCGTTTGTCTGTAGTTTTCGGGTTGACGCATGTCTTTGATTTCCTTTATCTGTAGTTTTCGGGTTGATAAATGTCTTTGATTTCGTTTGTCTGTAGTTTTCGGATTGACACATGTCTTTGATTTCGTTTGTCTGTAGTTTTCAGGTTGACATATTCTTTGATTTCGTTTGTCTGGCTTTCCTTTAACACGTTTCTGTTCAATATTTGTTAACCTAATAACGTCTGTGATGATAGGTCGTTTAAGATGTCTACCACCTTTGTAGTTCATATAGGTATTGCTGGAAGTTGTCACCCTGGTGAAATAGTACCGACACGGCTAGGGATAATTTCTCTTTAATATCTCTGTCAATAAAGCGTAAGACTATACAAAAAAAAACGTCCAAGGATCGATCCTTAGCGGAGGCATTGCAAAAAAGACATCTGTTATATAGGTTTCGATAGATGTCAAATCATAGATAGCATTGATAGATTCCGACTGTATATAGTCAAGGTATTGATGGATTCCCACTGTATATAGTAAAGGTATTGATGTATCCCCACTGTATATCGTAAAGGTAATGATAGATCCCTACTGTATATAGTAAAAGTATTGTTGGATTCCCACTGTATATAGTAAATGTATTGTTGGATTCCGACTGTATATAGTCAAGGTATTGTTGGATTCCCACTGTATATAGTCAATGTATTGTTGGATTCCCACTGTATATAGTCAAGGTATTGTTGGATCCCCACTGTATATAGTAAATATATTGATGGATTCCAACTGTTTATAGTCAAGGTAGTGTTGGACTCCCACTGTATATAGTAAAGGTATTGTTGGATTCCCTCTGTATATAGTAAAGGTATTGATGGATTCCCACTGTATATAGTAAAGGTATTGTTGGATTCCCTCTGTATATAGTAAAGGTATTGATGGATTCCCACTGTATATAGTAAAGGTATTGATGGATTCCCACTGTATATAGTAAAGGTATTGTTGGATTCCCTCTGTATATAGTAAAGGTATTGATGGATTCCCACTGTATATAGTAAAGGTATTGTTGGACTCCCACTGTATATAGTCAATGTATTGTTGGATTCCCACTGTATATAGTAAATATATTGATGGATTCCCACTGTGTTTAGTCGAGGTATTGTTGAATTCCCACTGTATATAGTCCAGGTATTGTTGGATTACCACTGCATATAGTCTAGGTATTGTTGGATTCCCACTGTATATAGCAAATGTATTGTGGGATTCCCACTGTATATAGTAAATATATTGATGGATTCCCACTGTGTTTAGTCGAGGTATTGATATATTCCCACTGTATATAGTCAAGGTATTGTTGGATTCCCACTGTATATAGTCCAGGTATTGTTGGATTCCCACTGTATATAGCAAATGTATCGTGGGATTCCCACTGTATATAGTAAATGTATTGATGGATTCCCACTGTGTTTAGTCGAGGTATTGTTGAATTCCCACTGTATATAGTCAAGGTATTGATGGACCCCCACTGTATATCGTAAAGGTAATGATAGATCCCTACTGTATATAGTAAAAGTATTGTTGGATTCCCACTGTGTTTAGTCGAAGTATTGTTGAATTCCCACTGTATATGGTCAAGGTATTGTTGGATCCCCACTGTTTATAGTAAATATATTGTTGGATCCCTACTGTATATAGTCCAGGTATTGTTGGACTCCCACTGTATATAGTAAAGGTATTGTTGGAATGATAGATCCCTACTGTATATAGTCAAGGTAATGATGGATTCCCACTGTATATCGTAAAGGTAATGATAGATTCCCACTGTCTATAGTAAATATATTGATGGATTACCACTGTATATAGTAAAGGTATTGTTTGATTACCACTGTATATAGTCCAGGTATTGTTTTATTCCCACTGTCTATAGTCAAGGTAGTGTTGGATCCCCACTGTATATAGTCAAGGGATTGTTGGATCCCCACTGTATATAGTACAGGTATTGTTTGACTCCCACTGTATATAGTCCAGGTATTGTTTGACTCCCACTGTATATAGTCCAGGTATTATTTTATTCCCACTGTATATAGTCCAGGTATTGTTGGATTACCACTGCATATAGTCTAGGTATTGTTGGATTCCCACTGGATATAGCAAATGTATCGTGGGATTCCCACTGTATATAGTAAATATATTGATGGATTCCCACTATGTTTAGTCGAGGTATTGTTGAGGAATTGATGTATCCCCACTGTATATCGTAAAGGTAATGATAGATTCCCCCTGTATATAGTAAATATATTGAAGGATTCCCACTGTGTTTAGTCGAAGTATTGTTGAATTCCCACTGTGTTTAGTCGAGGTATTGTTGAGGAATTGATGTATCCCCACTGTATATAGTAAAGGTAATGATGGATTCCCACTGTATATAGTCTAGGTATTGTTTGATTCCCACTGTATATATTCCAGGTATTGTTTGATTCCCCCTGTATATAGTCCAGGTATTGTTTGATCCCCACTGTATATAGTCCAGGCTTTGTTTGATTCCCACTGTATATAGTCCAGGTATTGTTGGATCCCCACTGTATATAGTCAAGGTATTGTTGGATCCCCACTGTATATAGTCCAGGTATTGTTTTATTCCCACTGTATATAGTCAAGGTATTGTTGGATCCCCACTGTTTAAAGTCAAGGTATTGTTGGATCCCCACTGTATATAGTCCAGGTATTGTTTGATTACCACTGTATATAGTCCAGGTATTGTTTGATTCCCACTGTATATAGTCTAGGTATTGTTTGATCCCCACTGTATATAGTCTAGGTATTGTTTGATTCCCACTGTATATAGTCTAGGTATTGTTTGATCCCCACTGTATATAGTCTAGGTATTGTTGGATCCCCACTGTATATAGTCCAGGTATTGTTTGATCCCCACTGTATATAGTCTAGGTATTGTTTGATTCCCACTGTATATAGTCAAGGTATTGTTTGATCCCCACTGTATATAGTCCATGTATTGTTGGATTCCCACTGTATATAGTCCAGGTATTGTTTGATTCCCACTGTATATAGTCAAGGTAATGGTGGATCCCCACTTTTCATCTCATTTATAGGCATAGCTAGATGTGTACTCCCACTGTAGGTGATTTGTATAAAATCGTACCTCTAGTTAGAGGGTTTGTATTTGTATGTACCTGTAATTTGGATGTAGGTTGGAATTAACTGTATTTTGTATTGATCTGTCGTTTTTAATATCATTCCTATGTATCTATACATTACAGCCAGCTGTACTGGACAATCTGTTGGGATCCATGAAGTACGTACTCACTGGTATGGGACTGTTACGGATCAACTTGGACAATCCAAAGAACCGGGTACGTAAGGACCGGACTGACGGACGTTCGATCGGTCGTGCCTGCTATATGGCACTAGATTCCTTGGTCATGATCGTTTTAATTGATACTGTTCTAGCGTGATTGCGATTTTTCGTTTCCTTTAAATCCTCAAAACAAAAATACGTTAGACATCCCGTTGTATATAAATATACATGTCACAAGTGTGGCAGAATACCGAATTGATTTTCACTAGTACAAAACACCAGTTATAATATTGGTATATATGGTATATAACGAAAAAATCTAAATTGTCGGTTAAATAATCGAGGGAAATATTACTGCAAAAAAATGCGGGAATCGGGTATGTAATATTTGATGCCATATTCTAATGACGGTACACGTGACACCAAAGTTATACGCCGTTTTGCAAGGGTTACTTTTTAACCAAATGGGACCACAAAGTACGATAAAATAATATTGTCTTATGTTGTTTTCAACATAAATGTAAGGATTGAAATGCATCTTTTAGGCATTTATGATGGTATGCAACCCAATTCCGTTCAAACATATCCTACATTGCGCGGTAGCACATCTTTAAGACTATGTTTGAACGGAACTGTGTTGCTTATATTGAAAAGATATATTTCGATCCTTAAATCACATTGAAATGATTAACAATGACACAAATGGGGTGCAACTGAGGCGTGACTGTTCTTAAATGTGTTGAATCGGAAGTAAACCGATAAACATTTGGCGAGTGCCGGGCAGAGTCTGCAGCTAACTTTCTCACAAAACGAACCTTATAACGGACAAGTATATGATAAAAATAATATCTTCCCACATGAAGATATAACATTCTGTATATCTTAACTGCAGTGAAGTTATAAGTTGTCAAATTTATAATTTCTGCTATTTCACTGGTGAAAATGTAACATAGAAACGCTCTGACTATTCTTTCCGCAAATAAGATAACGATTTGGACAGAGTATGAACTCACAATTAATGAGGTCAGGGAAATATCACCTGTCATGCTAGTGCTTTTGAGTTTTAGTCAATTCGCATAACTACATTGCAAATACTGGCATATATATGGAGGTGTATTACTGTACACATCGCGCTACAGGTAAACACTGTTCAGTCTATGGTGTAGCAGCGGGTCTCTGTAAATTGACGAAGGAAAACAGAATAAAACGAAGAGAAACCGAAAACTACAGTACGTTTATTAAGTCTGAACTGTTTTCTGCGATTAAGATGAAATTTTATCCTGATATACCAGAAAAATGCAATTCTAGATGCGAAATCTGTACAGTTCAGATCAACAAAGAACCGCAAATGTTCGGAAACTAAATATAATACAGATTCAATCTGATTTCGGTTCGTTTCGTTTTACGTTCGTTTCGCACTCTTCTCTAGCTATGTGGGTACGTTCTGTGTCATATCCACAGATATAGATCCTATGGCATTGGAACAACTAACAACCCATCGACATGAGTTTTTGCAGTTTGTCGCAATAAGATAACCATTGCTATAAGGCATACCTTCCATGTTTGTTTAACCAATAACAAGAGAGTGATGATAATTATGCTTCAAATACGCGTTTTTTTTTTTTATAGAAAATAGAACGTGAAGTTTTTGATTGTATGTTGTAATGTAGTTGTTGGTATGGCGATATAACAACTTAATAGAACGCTATTCCAGGTCATACTGTCAGTGTTTGTAATAGCACAGGTCATTCACGTTATAGGCGAACGCACAGGCAACTCTAACATGCACGTGCTGCTTCGACAAGAACCACATGATGCTCCCACATATGACAAGCGCCCTGAGGGCATTGTGGCAGGACCGTGGGGTTAGGATAGCCGTATCCCGGGGGTACGAGTACGAACTCAACGACTCTGCTATCTAGTAAGTACAACTTTGTATGCTATCTAGTGAATACCACTTTGCATTCTATCAAGTAAGTACAACTTTGTATGCTATCTAGTAAGTACAACTTTGTATGCTATCTAGTAAGTACAACTTTGTATGCTATCTAGTAAATACAACTTTGTACCCGTTCTATGTTGATTTGTGCGTAGTTAAAGCGATGGCTGTTGTTTTTTTTTATCAGATAGTGGTGTGACCTTTAACACGGTAGTAGGAGAAGAGGAGGGGCTTATTGACAACTTACACTGCAAATCACCGCAGTTTCATAAAGATTCATGCTAGAATTCCCTGTCTGTACATAAACCCTTCATGGAACCTCATTTCTACCGGAAATAAAAAGGCGAAGATGAAATTTAATGAGCGGTTGTTATTTTACCGCTTGGTTATTTGAAAATTTAAGGTAGACAGGCGCAGATTTCAACGCATTGCGGTAATTCGCATAGTCACTTAAATTGTTCGTTTTAGATTTCAGTGCTCAAAAACCTCGTTTTCATAGACCTCTGGTATTGTTATACTGCTGTCTAACAATGGGTCAAGTATGTTATCTACATCAAAATGGTTTGATACCTTCGTTGTTTGTCCTCAGCTACTTTGAAAACATTGAGCGGATCTGTTCCCGTGACTTCGTGCCAACATCTGTAGACGTGTTACGGGCCCGAGTACGAACGACTGGGATAATTGAGACGTGCTTCAAAATTAATCACGTCCTCATCAGGTATGTTTCTGCCATCAATACCGTCAAAATGACCTATATCAATAATTTTGTCACAGCCAGGTCTAAAGCTGTAACTTTTATTTGATCTTGTTTCCAGAATATTGACGTGATATTTCTTATTTTACATTGTAACGATAATATTTCAAGTTGTGTTTTCTGTTTATTCATGTGAACAGAATGTTCGACGTTGGTGGTCAGAGGTCAGAACGTAAAAAATGGATCCAATGCTTTGATGATGTCAATGCGCTACTATTTGTGGCAGCTCTCAGTGCTTACGACATGTGTCTGTATGAGGATCCTCATGTGGTGAGTAATAACACACTCTGCATGGTACCCCTAGAATACTGGGTAACATTCCCCAAACTAGTGGGTAACATCCCCAATACTACAGGGTTACATCTCCATAATACAAGGTAACCCTAGAATACTGGGTAATATTCCCCAAACTAGTGGGTATCTTTTCAAATACCACAGGGTTATATCTCCATGACACAGAGTAACATCTAGAATACTGGGTAACATTCTCGAAACTAGTGGGTTACATCCCCAATAATACAGGGTAACATCTCCTTAATACAAGGTAACCCTAGAATACTCGGTATTATTCACAATACTACAGGGTAATATCTCCTTAATACAAGGTAACCCTAGAATACTTGGTAACATCCACAATATTTCAGGGTTACATCTTCATAATACTGGGTAACATTCCCCAAACTAGTGGGTCACATCCCAAATACTACAGGGTAATATCTCAATATTTCAGGGTAACATCTCCATAATACAGGGTAACCCTAAAATACTGGGTAACATCCCAAATACTACAGGGTAATATCTCAATATTACAGGGTAACACCCCCATAATACAGGATAACCCGAGACTACTGGTAACATCACACACACTACTGGTAACATCACACACACTACTGGGTAACTACTTTCGTTCCCCTTTACAATTTTTCATCCATCAACCTTTCAGATTACAATTATGTTATCACTACAATGTAATATCGCCAAAACATAATTTGTACAGTTCCTTTATTATTTTCCAGACATTGGCATAGCACAACGAAAACGTTTTCTACAGTCTTCCTTCTTCCTAGTTAAAGTTCACACAGGTTGTTAAGGGGAATTTTAATTGATACTTCTTTCACATATTTTTTGTTATTTTTCAGAACCGACTTCAGGAAAGTTTAAAACTTTTCAAATCTATGTGCAATAATATTTTCTTCATGGACACATGTATGGTAGGTAGCTATTATATTTTATGTTTATATTTTGATGTGTGTAAGTATTTATTTATATGATGTGCAGACTAATCTTTATAAAGATATAATCCGTAGAGCAATCTCCACTTGAATATACTGTGTAGACTATTCTCTATATAGAAAAGGTGTGTAGGTAATGACTCGCACATGTTATTACTATTCGTGCTCATAAAGTCATTCCATTACACAGTAAGTTGGTCCATTCATGATGCAGAAATTGGTAAAAAATAAGTGTTTTTGTAAGTGAAGAGTATACTGAATATTGAATGAATCTTTCTTTTTATAAAGGCCTGAGTATTTAGTAATTTCAATACATAAAGAGATTTAGTAAGTGTAAATTGTACCAGGAATCTTTCTCCAAATATGTGATGAATTTTCGTTAATTGCCAGAAATCGCATTAAGTTGGTGCAAACATCATTTTTATTTGTATTATATCAATATAATTGAAATATATTAAGCTTTCAAAATATAATTAGTAATACTTAGATTGAAACATTACATATATATAGTTCACTTTTGCTGGTTTTTTCTTTAATCACTGAATTTTCGAAATTACGAAAAATACCAAATTACAGTGGTTCCAGTACAGAATTAATCAGCATATTTTGACAACTAATGCATATTTGTTTAAGGCAGGAATAGTAGATAGCCCTTACTGTGAACTGTGTAAACTAGAAATAGAGACAATAGACGATGTATTATGGGAATGTGATAAAGTACAAAATCTTTTACAAAATTTTGAGTTCTTATTAGATGCATTGATTATTCCATTTGATTATAATAAACAAACATTTCTTTTTGGTTTTTACAACTATAACGGACTTAATAAAAGTGACAACAGTATTATTTTAATAATAAAACAGTATATCTACAAGGCTTTATCTATACAAGGAATTAAAAGTTCAATTAAAGAACATTACAAGATTCAAAAATATATTACAAATAGTAAAGACGAAATATATCTCATTAACTTCCAGAATGAGTGGAAAAAATGGAAAAGGCATATTGATATTTCCTAGACCTACATTTTGCCGATTGTTTATATGTTTGATCTTATTTAAATATATTTGAAAAAAAGAGACAAAATTGTAACATACAATGTATTATCTTAATTACTTAGTTACTGACACCTATATTATTACCAGACTTCTATCCTTTACATTGGTTTGTTTAATACTGGTACTTCTCCTCTTGTCTGTCTATCTTTCCGTCTGTCTGTCTGTCTTTCTGTCCATTTACCTGTCTTTATTTCCACTATGCTTTGTTTTCTTGTTTCTCTTATCTGATTTTCCTTCCTTTCTTATATAACTTACAAAAAAATAAAATACCACTTACAAAAAGAGCAATATTAATTAGTATGAAAGTATGTGTGAAAGTGGAATTCATTATGTATAATGAAATGTATATGTTATTGTAATGTAAAAAATACTTTGAAAATAAACAAATCAAAAGATCAAAAAAATCCTATATAGATAAAGTGTGTAGACTATTCTCTATATAGAAAAAGTGTATAGACTATTTACTATATAGATAAAGTATGTAGACTATTCTCTATATAGATAAAGTGTGTAGACTATTCTCTATATAGATAAAGTGTGTAGACTATTGTCTATATAAAGCGTGTAGACTATTTACTTTATAGATAAAGTGTGTAGACTATTGTCTATATAGACAAAGTGTGTAGACTTTTGTCTATATAGATAAAGTGTGTAGACTATTCTCTATATAGATAAAGTGTGTAGACTATTCTCTTTATAGATAAAGTGTGTAGACTATTCTCTATATAGATTAAGTGTGTAGCCTATTCTCTATATAGATAAAGTGTGTAACTATTCTTTTTATAGATATAGTGTGTAGACTAACCTCTATATAGATAAAGTGTGTAGACTTTTCTCTATATATATAAAGTTAGTCCGAATTATTCTGACGTTTTATCGACTTTTTTTATGTAGGTCTGTCGTCGATTAACGTTAGAACTCCGGCCCTCTATAATATGCGGGAAATAAGCGACCCGCGCCTGGGTCGCTCTTCAAACTGATATTTTAGAAACAAATTGTCACTTTCACACACATGTCGCACATGGATCGAAATATCTATTCTTTATGCACACGATGAACATAAATTACAAGCCTCAAACAACCAATACAATCACTTAAAACATATTTTTTCAAACTTACTCTTTTACTTTACGTTTTTGATAGCCCCGCCTTCTAATGCCACGTGACTAAAATCTCGACGGCCTACTTCATAACGTTGGGAAATACCTTCGGTAACGCGAGATCTAGTCAAGTCATGTAACATTGCTCATGTCCTTATTTCCATTAAAAACATGGGTTGGTATAGAAAACGTTTGAAAATACTGTTCGTAATGATCTTTGAAACATTTTATTGATACCACCTAGTACATAAAGAATATATCTTTCGATCCATGTAACCTATATTATAGAGTAAGTGTGTAGGTTATATGTAGACTAGCCTCTATACAGATATATGCAGACTTACCTCTATATTGATATTATGTGTACATACTTACTCTATAATATCGACTATGTAGACTAGCCTCTATACAGATATATGAAGACTTACCTCTATGTTGATATCATGTGTTCACACTTACTCTATTATATCGACTGTGTAGACAAGCCTCTATACAGATATATGCAGACTTACCTCTATATTGATATTATGTGTTCACACTTACTCTATAATATCGACTATGTAGACAAGCCTTTATACAGATATATGAAGACTTACCTCTATATTGATAATATGTGTACACACTTACTCTATAATATCGACTGTGTAGACTAGCCTCTATACAGATATATGCAGACTTACCTCTATATTGATATTATGTGTGCACACTTACTCTATAATATCGACTATGTAGACTAGCCTTTATACAGATATATGAAGACTTACCTCTATATTGATATTGTGTGTTCACAATTACTCTATAATATCGACTATGTAGACAAGCCTTTATACAGATATATGAAGACTGACCTCTATATTGATATTATGTGTGCCCACTTACTCTATAATATCGACTGTGTAGTCTAGCCTCTATACAGATATATGCAGACTTACCTCTATATTGATATTATGTGCGCACACTTACTCTCTAATATCGACTATGTAGACTAGCATTTATACAGATATATGAAGACTTACCTCTATATTGATATTATGTGGTCACACTTACTTTATAATATCGACTATGTAGACAAGCCTTTATACAGATATATGAAGACTTACCACTATATTGATATTATGTGTTCACACGTACTCTATAATATCGACTATGTAAACAAGCCTCTATACAGATATATGCAGACTTACCTCTATATTGATATTATGTTTTCACACTTACTTTATAATATCGACTATGTAGACAAGCCTTTATACAGATATATGAAGACTGACCTCTATATTGATATTATGTGTGCACACTTACTCTATAATATCCACTATGTAGACTAGCCTTTATACAGATATATGAAGACTTACATCTATATTGATATTATGTGTTCACCCTTACTCTATAATATCGACTATGAAGAAAAGCCTCTATACAGATATATGCAGACTTACCTCTATATTGATATTATGTGTGCACACTTCCTCTATAATATCGACTATGTAGACAAGCCTTTATACAGATTTATGAAGACTTACCTCTATATTGATATTAAGTGTGCACACTTACTCTATAATATCCACTATGTAGACTAGCCTTTATACAGATATATGAAGACTGACCTCTATATTGATATTATGTGTACATACTTACTCTATAATATCGACTATGAAGAAAAGCCTCTATACAGATATATGCAGACTTACCTCTATATTGATATTATGTGTGCCCACTTACTCTATAATATCGACTGTGTAGACTATCCTCTATACAGATATATGAAGACTTACCTCTATGTTGATATCATGTGTTCACACTTACTCTATTATATCGACTATGGAGACTAGCCTCTATACATATTTGATAAGGATATTACTTGTAGTGACAGCTCTTTATCGATAAACAGAATGTGAAACATGTATTGACAGTTGTTCTAGTGACAATAAAGAAGGTTCCTAAAGATTTGTAGTACGGAAGCTTCGGCTATCTTGTTATATGTGGTATATACGGGTAGTTACCTATCATACCGCTCGGCTATCTGGTTATCTGTGGTATATACGGGTAGTTCTCGGCTATCTGGTTATCTGTAGTATATACGGGTATTTCCCTATCATAACGCTCGGCCAATACAGTACGTCTGTATGTTAGCAGATAATGAAACAATAAACGTTTAAAATATGTACGTTTGCTTAAACTCGAATCTTTCTCTTTTACAGATTCTCTTCCTCAACAAGATCGACCTATTTAAGGACAAAATTCGACATTCCGGCAGACATTTACGTCATTTCTTCTCAGAATATAAAGGTATGTTACTATGTATTCAAAATCTGACGTGTGTTCTGTGTTACTTTGTATTGAAAATCTTACGTGTGTTCTGGTTTACTGTGTGTATTCTATGTTGTTGTGTGTTGGTAATCCAAAGTTGTGTGTTCATTGTTATTGTGTGTTTGTAATCCAAAGTTGTGTGTTCTATGTTACTGTGTGTTGGTAATCCGAAGTTGTGTGTTCTATGCTATTGTGTGTGTTCTATGTTACTGTGTGTTTGTAATCCATTGTTATGTGTTCTATGTTACTGTGTGTTTGTAATCCGAAGTTGTGTGTTCTATGTTGCTGTTCAAGTTCTTTCTTTATTACCTTGGGTCTTTTGACCCATCGGTTTCAAAAGTAAGATATATTTACAATATCCACAGACAATACAATACAATACAATATAATACAATACAATACATGCAATACATACAATACAATACCAGCAATGTACAAACAGTATTGAGAGTGTAACAAATTAAGTTGGTTTCTTCTTACATTTGCCGCTTTTATATATTTGGCCAAATTGACAAGTTCTTTTGTGTTATTTACATTCAATAGATTTATCATTTTAAACATACTTAAGTTTTTTACATGGTACTTTTTCAAAAATTTAACACGCAAATCCGAATAACATGGACATTTCAACATAAAATGAAACTCATCTTCAACGTCATTTAAATTACATACAGTACACGCTCTAAGACTACGCTCAATATTGTGATATCTACCTTTTTCTATATTTAGATTATGAGCAGATAACCTAATTTTTGTAATCTCTTTCAAATATTCTCTAGATAATGGTTTTCTTAAGTAACACTGTAAATCAAACTGGTTATAAAGATATGTATAGATAAATCCCTTTGAAGATGTTCTTACGTTTTCTTTGCTTTCTTGTCTATATATATCAATAAGTCTTTCTCTAATAACATTATAACACATATCATCATTTATTTCTGTTTCCAATATGTAACCAAGGCCAATTCTAAATAAATCATTTTTTTTTATGTTTGAAACCCATTTATCCTCATTCTCTAACATATCTTTATAGCATTCTTGCAAAATACAATTACTAGTCCTTTTTAACTTAATCCAATATTTAATAATTCTTAACTTTCTTACCAATGACAATGGATACCTCCCAAGTTCTAAATAAACCATAACATTACAAGTATTTTTTCTTACGCCAAGCAGTCGTTTACAAAACAAAGTATGATTTTTTTCAATATCTGGGGCTTTATGAAAGCCCCATATTTCAGAACCGTAGCTTAGAATGCTATTTACATACGTATCAAAAACTGATAATTGAGTTTCAATATTAAAATAATTTTTCCGACATACATTCATAACTGAAAACAAAGCCTTTCTTTTCTGATCTGCATTTTTTTGTTGTGCTTTCTAAATGTTCCATTGTAATTTAGTAAGATTCCTAGGTAGTTAAATTCGTTTACAATTTCTAGCTGACGATCATTGTATTTCCAACATTCATTATTTCTCAAAATACCCCCATTTCGAAACACAAGAATTTTTGTTTTATCCGTATTGACTGTTAGATCCCATTTTTTTTGTGTACGATTCTAAAGAGTTTAACATATCTTGCAGACCCTCTGGCGTTTCGGAAAAAATCACCATATCGTCTGCGTACATCAAAAGAAACAAATTCAGTGTTTGAATTTCTATCGACTGACAGTTGTCAATTAAAAATTGCATTTCGCAATCATTAACATATAATGTAAACAATAATGGCGATAAAATTTCACCTTGAAACAATCCATTTTCACAATTGAAATAATTGGATAATGAACCATTATGCTTAACACAACATTTAACACTAATATACAATGACCTTATTAGCTTTAATAATCTCCCATCAATGCCTTCTTTTATCAATTTGAACCACAATTTTTGTCTATTGACGAAATCAAAAGCCTTTGTATAATCAATAAAGCAACAGTATAATTTTTGTTTTACGTTTTAGAGTGCGGTTAATCAAAGATTGTAAAGCAAATATGTCGTCAATGGTAGACAAGTTTTTCTTAAAGCCAAACTGAGCATCCGTTATTTTACTATATTTTTGGTCAAATACCACAAGCCTATTATTAATGATTGACGTAAAAAGTTTCCCCAAACAGCTAACAAGAGTAATACCTCTGTAATTATTTACATCGTTGACATCTCCCTTCTTAAAGACAGGCACAATATTACCTTTTGACCATGCTTCCGGAAAATGACCAGCTTTAAGTATATTGTTAAATAAAGTTACAAAACAAGATATCAACACCGTCTTACATTTAGTTATGTATTCATTTAAAATATTGTCAGGGCCACATGCCTTATTTGCATTTAATTTCTTAATTGCACCAAATATTTCGGCTTCTGATATATTTGCGTCTAATTCGTCAAATGTTACATTCGAAGAGTTTAAATCATGTTCTTGCAGAAAATAATTAACTATAGCATCAATAGTTGGTTTGGTTAAAGCTAATTTATAGAAATGGTCGAAAAAATCAGTATCACTCAAATCGTTTTTAACCTTTTGCTTACTTTTTTTGAAATGTTTATAAAAAGTCTAAGGATTATATTTTCTCATGTAATTGACCATGTTGCCTTGTTGACACTTATATTCTTTTTTAAGTATGTATTCTAATAATTGTGTGTGTTCTATGATAATGTGTAAGTAATCAGAAGTTGTGTGTTCTATGTTACTGTGTGATGGTAATCCGAAGTTGTGTGTTCTATGTTACTGTGTGTGTTCTATGTTACTGTGTGTGTTTAGTTCTATGTTACTGTGTTAGTTCTATGTTACTGTGTTTGTTCTATGTTACTGTGTTAGTTCTATGTTACTGTGTTTGTTCTATGTTACTGTGTTAGTTCTATGTTACTGTGTTTGTTCTATGTTACTGTGTTAGTTCTATGTTACTGTGTTAGTTCTATGTTACTGTGTTAGTTCTATGTTACTGTGTTTGTTCTATGTTACTGTGTTAGTTCTATGTTACTGTGTTAGTTCTATGTTACTGTGTTAGTTCTATGTTACTGTGTTTGTTCTATGTTACTGTGTTAGTTCTATGTTACTGTGTTAGTTCTATGTTACTGTGTTAGTTCTATGTTACTGTGTTTGTTCTATGTTACTGTGTTAGTTCTATGTTACTGTGTTAGTTCTATGTTACTGTGTTAGTTCTATGTTACTGTGTTTGTTCTATGTTACTGTGTTAGTTCTATGTTACTGTGTTAGTTCTATGTTACTGTGTTAGTTCTATGTTACTGTGTTTGTTCTATGTTACTGTGTTAGTTCTATGTTACTGTGTTAGTTCTATGTTACTGTGTTAGTTCTATGTTACTGTGTTTGTTCTATGTTACTGTGTTTGTTCTATGTTACTGTGTTAGTTCTATGTTACTGTGTTAGTTCTATGTTACTGTGTTAGTTCTATGTTACTGTGTTAGTTCTATGTTACTGTGTTAGTTCTATGTTACTGTGTTAGTTCTATGTTACTGTGTTAGTTCTATGTTACTGTGTTAGTTCTATGTTACTGTGTTAGTTCTATGTTACTGTGTTAGTTCTATGTTACTGTGTTAGTTCTATGTTACTGTGTTAGTTCTATGTTACTGTGTTAGTTCTATGTTACTGTGTTAGTTCTATGTTACTGTGTTAGTTCTATGTTACTGTGTTAGTTCTATGTTACTGTGTTAGTTCTATGTTACTGTGTTAGTTCTATGTTACTGTGTTAGTTCTATGTTACTGTGTTAGTTCTATGTTACTGTGTTAGTTCTATGTTACTGTGTTAGTTCTATGTTACTGTGTTAGTTCTATGTTACTGTGTTAGTTCTATGTTACTGTGTTAGTTCTATGTTACTGTGTTAGTTCTATGTTACTGTGTTAGTTCTATGTTACTGTGTTAGTTCTATGTTACTGTGTTAGTTCTATGTTACTGTGTTAGTTCTATGTTACTGTGTTAGTTCTATGTTACTGTGTTAGTTCTATGTTACTGTGTTAGTTCTATGTTACTGTGTTAGTTCTATGTTACTGTGTTAGTTCTATGTTACTGTGTTAGTTCTATGTTACTGTGTTAGTTCTATGTTACTGTGTTAGTTCTATGTTACTGTGTTAGTTCTATGTTACTGTGTTAGTTCTATGTTACTGTGTTAGTTCTATGTTACTGTGTTAGTTCTATGTTACTGTGTTAGTTCTATGTTACTGTGTTAGTTCTATGTTACTGTATGATGGTAATCCGAAGTTGTGTGTTCTATGTTACTGTATTTGTAACCCGAAGTAGTGTGTTCTATGTTACTGTGTGTTGGTAATCCGAAGTTGTGGGTTCTATGTTATTGTGTGTTTGTAATCCGAAGTTGTGTGTTTTACGCTACTGTGTGTGTTCTATGTTACTGTGTTAGTTCTATGTTACTGTGTTTGTAATCCGAAGATGTGTGTTTTATGCTACTGTGTGTGTTCTATGTTACTGTATATTGGTAATCCGTAGTTGTGTGTTCTATGTTACTGTGTTAGTTCTATGTTACTGTGTTAGTTATCCGAAGTTGTGTGTTTTATGCTACTGTGTGTGTTCTATGTTACTGTGTATTGGTAATTCGTAGTTGTGTGTTCTATGTTACTGTGTTAGTTCTATGTTACTGTGTTTGTAACCCGAAGTTGTGTGTTCTATGTTACTGTGTTTGTAATCCAAAGTTGTGTGTTCTATGTTACTGTGTTTGTAACCCAAAGTTGTGTGTTCTATGTTACTGTGTGTTGGTAATCCGAAGTAGTGTGTTCTATGTTACTGTGTGTTGGTAATCCGAAGTTGTGGGTTCTATGTTATTGTGTGTTTGTAATACGAAGTTGTGTGTTCTATGTTACTGTGTTAGTTCTATGTTACTGTGTTGGTAATCCGAAGTTGTGGGTTCCATGTTATTGTGTGTTTGTAATACGAAGTTGTGTGTTCTATGTTTCTGTGTTAGTTCTATGTTACTGTGTTTGTAATCCGTAGATGTGTGTTCTATGTTACTGTGTTTGTATCCCGAAGTTGTGTGTTCTATGTTACTGTGTTTGTAATCCGAAGATGTGTGTTTTATGCTACTGTGTGTGTTCTATGTTACTGTGTTTGTAATCCGAAGTAGTGTGTTCTATGTGACTGTGTGTTGGTAATCCGAAGTTTTGTGTTCTATGTTATTGTGTGTTTGTAACCCGAAGTTGTGTTTTCTATGTTACTGTGTTGGTTCTCTGTTACTGTGTTTGTAATCCGAAGATGTGTGTTTTATGTTACTGTGTGTGTTCTATGTTACTGTGTGTTGGTAATCCGAAGTTGTGTGTTCTTTGTTACTTTGTTAGTTCTATGTAACTGTGTTTGTAATCCGAAGTATTGTGTTGTATGTTACTGTGTTTGTAACCCGAAGTTGTGTGTTCTCTGCTACTGTGTTTGTAACCCGAAGTTGTGTTTTCTATGTTACTGTGTTTGTTATATGTTACTGTGTTAGTAATCCGTAGTTGTGTGTTCTATGTTACTGTGTTAGTTCTATGTTACTGTGTGTGTTCTATGTTACTGTGTTTGTAATCCGAAGTTGTGTGTTCTATGTTACTGTGTGTTTGTAACCCGAAGTTGTGTGTTTCTCTGCTACTGTGTTTGTAATCCGAAGTTGTGTTTTCTATGTTACTGTGTTAGTTCTATGTTACTGTGTGTGTTCTATGTTACTGTGTTTGTAATCCGAAGTTGTGTGTTCTATGTTACTGTGTGTTTGTAACCCGAAGTTGTGTGTTTCTCTGCTACTGTGTTTGTAATCCAAAGTTGTGTTTTCTATGTTACTGTGTTAGTTCTATGTTACTGTGTGTGTTCTATGTTATTGTGTGTTTGTAATCCGAAGATGTGTGTTCTATGTTACTGTGTTAGTTCTATGTTACTGTGTTTGTTTTATGTTACCGTGTGTGTTCTATGTTACTGTGTTAGTTTATGTTACTGTGTTTGTTCTATGTTACTGTGTGTGTTCTATGTTACTGTGTTAGTAATCCGTAGTTGTGTGTTCTATGTTACTGTGTTAGTTCTATGTTACTGTGTTAGTTCTATATTACTGTGTTAGTTGTATGTTACTGTGTGATGGTAATCCGAAGTTTTGTGTTTTATGTTATTGTGTGTGTTCTATGTTACTGTGTGTTTGTAATCCGAAGATGTGTGTTCTATGTTACTGTGTTAGTTCTATATTACTGTGTGATGGTAGTCCGTTGTTGTGTGTTCTATGTTACTGTGTGTGTTCTATGTTATTGTGTGTTTGTAATCCGAAGATGTGTGTTCTATGTTACTGTGTTAGTTCTATATTACTGTGTGATGGTAGTCCGTTGTTGTGTGTTCTATGTTACTGTGTGTGTTCTATGTTATTGTGTGTTTGTAATCCGAAGATGTGTGTTCTATGTTACTGTGTTAGTTCTATATTACTGTGTGATGGTAGTCCGTTGTTGTGTGTTCTATGTTACTGTGTGTGTTCTATGTTATTGTGTGTTTGTAATCCGAA